TCCCTCCCTCCCTCCCTCCCGCTCTCTCTCTCTCTCTCTCTCTCTCTCTCTCTCTCTCTCTCTCTCTCTCTCTCTCTCTCTCTCTCTCTCTCCTCTCTCTCTCTCTCTCTCTCTCTCTCTCTCTCTCTTCTCTCTCTCTCTCTCTCTCTCTCTCTCTCTCTCTCTCTCTCTCTCTCTCTCTCTTCTCTCCCTCTCTCTCTCTCTCTCTCTCTTTCTCTCCCTCTCTCTCCCTCCCTCCCTCCCTCCCTCTCTCTCTCTTCTCTCTCTTTCTCTCTCTCTCGCTCTCTTTCTCTTACCCCTTCTACAGTCTCCGTAATTGCTTAAGAGACTCGGGTCCAAAGATTATGCAGATGATGACGCCGAAGTCAAAGTCATTTTATTCCTCAGCTGATCCTTAGATAGTATGAAGCGCGTTATCTAGGGCGCTGGGATGATGGTGTGGCGTGTGGGTGTGAGTGTGGGTGTAGGTGGAGAGGTGTGGGTGGTTGGATGGGTGGAGGGGTGTGGGTGGGTAGATGTGTGTGTGTGTGTGTGCGTGTGTTTACGTGTGTGTGTGTGTACGTGTGTTTACGTGTGTGTGTGTGTGTGTGTGTGTGTGTACGTTTGTGTGTGTGTGTGTGTGTGTGTGTGTGTGTGTGTGTATGTGCGTGTGTATATTTTTTTCTTCTCTTCCTCTTTTTTTTTTTTTTGTATGCGTTTAGTGCACGTGAAACAGCAAGCTTAGTGGCACTGCTTAATCTACCCCACGCAGTAATCCCATACCAAAATTCATCAAACATTTATTACCATTACATAGCCTAATTTGGATCAAAGCAATACCCAGACAGCACTTGTTCGTTTATGTGAATTCGCGCGTTCGTTCGTATGCGTTCGTATGCGTTCGTTCGTGTGTGCGTTCGTTCGTGTGCGCGGGATTCATGTCGCGTGAATCACGTATAGATGTTAAACTTGAAGTATGTGTTTTACCTTTTGGAGGGTGGGTCGTGGAGTGCGTGCTTGACCTGGGCTTGGAGTGGGAAGGGAGGGGAGAGGAGGAAAGAAGAGGGGAGAGGAGGAGAGGAGGAAAGAAGGAGGGGAGGAAAGGAGGAAAGAAGGAGGGAGGGGAGAGGAGGAAAGAAGGAGGGAGGGGAGGAAAGGAGGAAAGAAGAGGGGACAGGAGAGGAGGAGGAAAGATAGAGGATGGGTGAGAAGAGGGAAGAAAAGGAGAGGAAGAGAGAAGAAGAGGAGAGAGGAGAAGTGGAAAGAAGAAGGGGAGAAGAGGAGAAAGGAGAGGGAAGGGAAGGGTAAGAAAGTTGAGAAGATAAGAAGTCAGAAGGGTAAGAGGAAGGAAAGAAAGAAAGAAAATGGGAGAGGGAGGGAGAGAAAAAGGAAAGATGGAAGTGGAGAGAGAGAGGAAGAGAGAGAGGAAGAAAAGGGAAGAAAGAAGAGAAGAGAAAAGAAAAAAAATCAATAGGAGAGGAAACAGGAAGCTAGGGAAAGGTGGGAAGGAGAAAATTGGGAATGAGAGATGAGACGGGAGAAAAAAGAGAAGAGAGGGAAAAGGAGAGGAAGGGAGAAGAAGAGAGGATAGAGAAGAGAGGCAAAAGAAGCGAGGGAAGAGAGGGGAGGAGGGGAAGGGGAAGTCCTCATAGGGAAGAGGGAGAAGGGAGGAAGAGGAGAGAAAGAGGGAAGAGAAAGAGAGAGAAAAAAAGGTTAAGGAGGGTAAAAAAGAGAGGAAAATGGAGAGATGCAAGGAGAGAAGAGAGAATAAAAGAACAAGGGAAAAAAGGGGGTATAAAGAAGAAACCAAAAGCATAAAAGGGATGTAGGAAACAAAAAATAAAAATAAAAGAGAAGAGGAAAGGCGATAGAAGATAAGACAACAAAAAACATTAAAAATAGTAAAAAGTAGACAATAGTAAGAATGAAAAGGGATAAAAAGATAAAAGAGGGAGGGATAGAGGGCGGAATGATTAAGAAAATGGAAGAGAGGAAGAGAGAAAAAAAATAACTGAGGAAGGCTGGAGACGCAGCTAAGACATCTTTTGTCTTTTTCTTTCTCTCACTCATTCTTCTCTCTCTTTCTTTTTTTTTTTTTTTTTCTTTTTTTCTTTTTTTTTTTTTTTTTTCCTCGTCTTCCTCTTCGTCTTCTTTTTCTTCTTCTCTTCTTCCTTCCTTCTATATTTTTCATTTTTATTCTTTCCTGATCACTTTCTTCATCTTTTTTTTCTCTATTCTTCTCATTATCTCTTCCGCTCTTTCTTTCTATCTTCTCTTCCATCTTTCTTTCTTTCCTTGCTCCCTTCTCTATTTTCATTTCTCTCTCTCATTACCTCCACTTTCTCTTTCTTCATTTATTCCTCTCCCTCTTTTGCTCTTTCTATCCGTCTCTTCTTTTCTCTTCCTCTTTCGTTCTTTCCTCTCCTCCCCCTCCTTCTCTCTTTCTCGTTCTCTTTCTTTCTCTCGCATTTCTCTCGTTTTCTCTTTTTAAAAAAAGTTAATAATTATAGTACATCTCGTTACATAGTGTGTAAATGTGTAATTGTGTCTTTATGTTTGCTTGTGAGTGTGTGTGTGTGTGTGTTTATGTTTGCTTGTGTGTGTGTGTGTGTGTGTGTGTGTGTGTGTGTGTGTGTGTGTGTGTGTGTGTGTGTGTGTGTGTGTGTGTGTGTGTGTGTGTCTGCGTGTGTGTGTATGTGTGTGTGTGTGTGTGTGTGTGTGTGCATGTGTGCATGTTTGTGTGTCTGTCAATGTGTCTGAGTGTGTGTCTATGTGTGTGTATATGTACGCATGTGTCTGTGTCTGTTCGTATATGTATGTCCATGTATGCGTATATCAATATATACATGTATATATTTGTGTGTGTGTCTTTTTTTCACCGCTTTAAGTGTATATAGACCTAGTACAAATACCTGAAGCCTATTGGGTTTTGAATTTC